GGGGCGGGGTGGGGCTGCCCGAGCTGGCCGCCCTTTTTGCAACCCGGGACGAGGCTTCACGCTGGGGCCCTGCGTGCGCGCCCGGTGTTCGCCGAACGCCGCGCTCCAGCCTTGTTCAGGGGCGGGTAGGTAGCGGTTGGTTAACGATTTAACCGTTCGCTCCGGACGTTGAAGCTTCGATCCTGGCCTCTGGCTCCTCCCCATTCCTGGAGCGCCCCCAGCCGGGGGAACAAATCTGCCCTCCTGTGTCTGTGGTGTCGCCTGCAGGAGCTGCCTCTGCCTGTTAGGGGTCCCCTGGCTGCTGTGGGTGAGTGTCCCGGACTGGAGGGGTGGATGGCGGTTGAGTTTCCTGGGAGAGGAGTAGGACTTGCGTTGAGTGTGTGTGCCTGAGGGGGGAGGGGCGCTCCCTCGCTGTTAACTCAAACCAGGTTCCTTGTGTTTGCCCAATGAAATACTGCAGCCTGGGCTTCGGAAGTTTTCTTTTTCTCCCAGGGAGAATGAAGAGGAAATACGATGCTTTCTCTTTTCTTCTTGGCTGGGGACTTCTCCCCCCTCCGACACTCTCACCTCTTGCAATCTGACCGGCTCCCACATCCCTCTCTGGGCCCACAGCTACCATTCTTTGCCCAGGTAGTTAGTTGAGAGATAGAATGGGCAAAGAGTCCTTGTGGGTGTCTCTTTACTTTGAAGCCTCCTGTCAACTCTCTGACGGAGAGGGTGGGGGTACTTCCCATCCTTACCCCCAGCAGCCATCTGGACCTGAGGAGCATAAACAATGAGAGGCCCCTGGCAGGGGGGCCTCTGCCCTGCAACTACTTTGCCCTGTCTGGGTTTCCAGTAAGGCCTGCAGCAGCTCCTCCCGCCCCTTTCTGAGGCCAGGCTGGAGGAGGGGACCACCAGTGGGATGGAGTGGATTTTAAAGAACAAAGGACAGGGCCCACAGCAGGGGGAACTCTGCTACAGGTTTCTCCCAGAACTTGGGAAAGGGGGGGGTGGGGGAGGCTGCTGGAGCAGAGCCAGGCTTCTGGGCAGCCCAAAGGCAGTTGGCAATAATGGGGCATCCACTAGAGCCCTGGGAGTCAGTGTTGGGTAGCTGGGGCCAGGCTGCATGTGGAGTGCCATGTGCTAACAGCTCTCATCAGCTGGTGTGTGACTACTGATTAATGTGCTTTATCTCCTCTGAACCCGGACTTTGCCCCCTTCAACTATTTCCCACAGTGGGCAACCTTGGGAGATGCGGAGGGGAGCTCCTCAGGGGTCCTGGGGACCTGCCTTTGGGAGGACTTGAGGGAACTGGTGTGCTAAAGTGAGCCTGCTCCCTAGCAGTGGTGATTTAGGGGTGTCTCAGCCCCTCCGGCAACTTTGCAGAGTTCACAGGGTCTCTTGCTCACTGAGGTACAGCAGCTCATGTTCTGTGTGTTCACACCAGCCAGCCCTTTGAGCATTTCTTGCGTTTTGTGGGGTGTCTGTCCTTATTCAGCCCTCCTTTGCTCACACATGCCAGCTCTCCGTTCTTGTTCCAAGCCCTATGTGCGTGCCCAACGAATGGTCTTTGAAACTGACATCCAAGCTTCTGAAGTCACAAGCAGATGTGGGATTTCCTCCGTGAGGCAGTGGTCCCCGGGGGTGGTCTGATGTTGACCTGTTAGAGAATCCCAGACCCTCCCCTCAGAGCTTTTCCAGAAGGTTCCCTGGTTGCCTCTGGTTCAGGGCCACCCCCTTTCCCCAACTCATTTGTGTAGTTAGGACAGGCTGTGCCCAGCTGTGGTAGGCGAGGTGTTTGATGTTGGTGTCTCCTTCTCTTCCGTTCTCCCTGCCTCCCCCCTTCCCTTGAAGTTTGCATGGAATTGGCAGAGGAGGGCGGTCTGTGGCCAACATCCTGGATGATCATGGAGTAACAGCTCCAGCTGTTCTGGTTAGGACATCCCACAGACAACTCTTAGGCGCCTGCCCCTGTTGGGGGAGGGAGGAGTTTGTCCCTCACAAGAACAGAGGAGCTGGGTTGATGCCAGCGATAAGGCTGAGGAGTGGAGAGGGGTTGAGCAATCTCACCCTGGGAAGTGAGCATGGACCCCGAGCTGTGCTTAGGTCTTGTGACCTCAGGACTAGAGTCTTCTCCTCAGCCTGGGGAGAAAGAACCAAGTCCCAGGGCTAAGGGGACACTTGGAGTGGAGCGGTAGACGTCCCTTGACTGCCTCTGACTCCAGCTAATATTTCTGAAGTGCCTGGGGAAGGCTCAGCCCAGGTCTGCCCTCTCTGGGCAGGGCCTGGGACAGTCATTCAGGGAGGGACAGGAGAGTGGCTAAAAGTAGCCCTGCCTACTTGCCTGATGGAGAAAGTTCAACCATTAGCTTCCCACATTCCTACTCCTGGTGAAGCCCCAGCTTAAAATGGGCCTCCTGGAGCCTCGGGCTTCCTTCCAGCCTTGGAACACTAGAGCCCTTCCCTGCACCCTAGGCATTGCTAGCTTGCTGCTCCGGCTCAGTGCCAGGAGGACAGTGCTAGCATGCTGGCAAACAGAGCCTCCCTTACCTGAGACTGAGACTGGTGGTCTCTGCTGCACCTTCCCAAGCTGAGGTAGGGCGTCCCTTTTCAGTCTGAGGTGAAAACAGTTTGGCGATGTCATGTGTTCACATCTAGTGTTCTCCCCCTGCCCTTAATCCTAGGGCCAGGGCAAGAAAGACCCTTGTATGTCTTGGTGCTCGATCACTACCCTCTGCCTTGATTATCATGGTATCAGATGATGGCAGCTGAAGCCACCCCAGCTCCCTTTCATCTGTCTCCATTTAGTAACTGAACTTAGTCTAGCCACCCCAGTTTTAGGTCTTCCTAGATGTGACAAGGAAGCCAGGTCTTATGTCCCAACTTCTCTCCATCCCATCACTTCCTCTCTGCTCCTCAGTCACCCCACCAACACCCATTATAAGCCTCTCCTTTCTTCAGGATGTTGCCCAGACCTTGAAGCATCAGAAAGGGACCCTCTGCTCTCTCCTCCCTCTCTGTCCCTGGAGATTACGGCTTGGAGAGGAAGAGCCTGGAAGGAGCAGAGAGGCCGGTGGTACCCTGTGTGGAGGATGTCTTGGGAGAGTCTAGGAGGTTCAAAGGTTGAGGCTGCTCTCTATGGGGGCGAGCACATCCTCCCCTTTGAAGTTCTATTTGTTGCTGGTAGCACCTAGCTCTCCATCTGCCTTACCCTTATCCTAGGGGGAAAACGAGAGCGCTCACAATCGTTTTTTGAACTGAAATCAGAGGGAGCCAGGCCCTCTCCATCCTGCATCATCAAAGGTCAAAGGTAAAGAAACCCCAGGCAGGGCTCCCTCATGACCCTGCTAGCTACTGAACAGCAGTACCAAGTGAGGATGAACTCTGTACTCTGACTTCAGGGGTCAGCTTCATGTGGCACCCTGGAGTCTATTGGGTTAGGCATGTGTGGGTGTGCCCAGGGCTGACTGTGGATCCTGTTTGAACTTATTGTTAGCCCAAGTGTCACCAAGCGTAGATGTGGGGTCACACCTGTAGGTGTGGGGTACCAGCTGAGAGAGCACATCTCAGTGTCATCTTCAAGTCATCTGCTGAATAGTGTCACCTCTTAGACGGTGTTGTGCTGAATACTTCGTGTGTTTAAGCTTGTTACATCTTCACCTTAATGGCTTTGAAAGCTATGGGGAAACTGAGGCACAGATAGCAAGCTCAATGTCGTGAGCTAGATTATGATCTGGGGACTCCGACACCCTTTACCCCAAGATCTAAAGTCAGGAATAGAAGCCCACCATCCTGCTTGGGGGATTTCTCTGGAGACCCCACAGTGCCCTTGTGTCTTCCACTTAGCTGAGCACCACTTCCTAGGAGAAGTGAAGTGAAACTCGGGCCTGAGGGTGGATGGGATTTCAAGTGCGGCCGCTTCCTTCTGAGATGAGAAGGGAGCAGGAGCAGAAGCGCTGCCCCCAGCAACTTGTCCTGCACAGGGACAGCTCGCTTGCCACCGGATGCCCTTTCCTGTCTCCTCACTGGTGGTAGATCGTTGGGTGGCAGACTCCTGGAAGCCCACGTTTCCAGGAAGGGTCGTGTAAACAAGTGAAGCTGCCGGATGTCTTTGGGTTGCTAGTTCTGCGTCGTCTTGGCTCCTTGGTCAGTTGTAGTTTCCGGTCTCTCCCAGGCTCTGGCTCCTCTCTCTTCCCTTGTGGGCAGGTCATATTCCCAGGCCATGGGTGAGGGAAGCCTTTTCCTTCACTCCCCCCCCTTTACCCTCCCACCAGCTTCCTTCCCCTGGTTCAAGGCAGAGGGCTCTGGAATGAGGATAGAGGCGGATATGGGGCAGAGACTGAGGTCATTCCCAGCTTACGAGGGCTCCCGGAAGAATGCATCCCCTGCCCCACCCTCTGTTTCTCAGGATTAATCCACTTTCTCTGAAATAGTTTTTAAAAAAATGTGGTGCCCAGACCACGTATGTGAATTGCCTGCAATCAGGGGAGCCTGATCCCCTGGGGTTAGAGTTGCATCTCCATTTGTTAGCTTGGAACCAAACTCTGGTCCTCTGCAAGAGCACCAGATAATTCTTTAACTACTGTACCATTTCTCTAGCTCCCAAGATATCACACACACACACACACACACACACGCGCACGCACGCACGCACGCACGCACGCACGCACGCACGCACGCACGCACGCACGCACGCATGCACGTGCCGGGGCGGGGCATGTGACACTGGAGGTGTGAAGGCACCGTTGTGTGCTCAATGCTCTCCTTCCACCATGTGGGCTCTGCTCTGGCCATCAAGCTTGGTGACAAGTACCTTCACGGGTTTGAGCCATCTTGTTGGTGGGGAGTTTTTGTTGTTGTTTAACCAGAAATTGTCTGTGAAGCTGTAGGCTTCCTATGGGTGTTCAGCACCTGTAGTCCTCATCACCTCAAGACTTGGGTCCCCACTGTGATTGTGAGTCCCTCACCACCTCCAGTATGCTTTACATCAGAGTGGAAAACACCTGGAGTTACCTAGATTCTCCTCTCAGCTCTGTCCTTAGGAGCTGGATGACTTACTTGGGTGACTTCTTTGGGCCCTCTGAGCCTCTGCTTTCTTATCTATGAGATGGAGACACTGGTGTTGAACATCATGGTATTTGGTGTCTCAGATGCTTTAGACCTTAAGGACTAAAAACAATTTAATGAGAACACAGTGTCTAGGACCTGGAGGGTCTTCTCTACTTCATCCTCTGTGAACTGTGAGTAGCCTGGGGAGAGGACCACCTGGTACAGGGTCTGGCTGTGTCCCTGAAATTAGGGAGCATCTCACATTCTAAATGTCAG